CACCGGCCAGCGTCGTTCTGGCGTCGAACAGCCTTAGGTCACCGAGTATTACAGCCTTAAAACTACCTAGAAGAGATTGCCAGGAAACCCCAGGATCCAGAAGACTTTTTAAGGAGAGAACAGACTACCCCCTTTTTTTTAGAATTGAATTTAACTACGTAAAAATTTGTAATTGAAAACATAAAAAAGGCCTGGCGGGTCCTAGAAATGCTCAGAAACCCTTGGAATCCCTAACGCTCCTTCCGAGGCCTTTCAACACTGTCCTACTCCCTGCCGAGCTCTTCCAGGTCTCACACCCCACGTCGTGCTAGGTTACAGGGTGACACAACTCACCCCAGCTCCGACCAGCGTCGTCCCAGCAGCAACCCTTAGCTGTTCCGTAGAATGCCCACCCCTAAGCATCCCCAGATCTCTCTACCAGGCCTCATGCTCCTGCATCGCAGGTCACAGGGTAACACCCCAGCTCCGGCCAGCGTCGTTCTGGCATCGAGCAGCCACAGGTCCCTGAGTATAACAGCATAAAAAACCACCTGAGAAAAGTTGCTAGGGATCCCCAGAGCCCAAAAGCATTCTTAAGACCCCCGAACAGCCATCTGTAAAAAGAAAAAAAGAAGGGGGGGGAAGTCAAAACGAAATACCAACCATCCTAAAGTCCCCCCCTAGCCCCTCCCTGATGCCTCTTAGCTGAAGCGCCACTCCCTGCTACTGCCCGCTAATCGCCTCTATAACATGCCAGCGCCACTGTCAAACCACCAGTACCTTTCCCTGCTTGAAAGAAAATACAGTGGCCGTTAACACGAAGGCTCGTCTGCGCCACGAAACGGCTGGCAGCGGCGGCCAGGTGCATCTGCGCCGGTTCGTGTTTTCGTGGGGCACAGGGAAAAATCGGCGCCGCCACGAAACGGCTGGCAGTGGCGGCCAGGTGCATCCGCGCCGGTTCTTTTTTTCGTGGGGCACAGGGAAAAATTGACCCCGCTGCCGATATATGAGAAAGGTACTGCTGCTTCAATGGCTACTTCGATACCCAAAGCTTGCAAACAGGCAGGATGGGATGCCCAATGCTTAGCGCTGCTAAATCCAAACTTCGCAAACATGGAGATAGACCCTTCAGCCCCTCGCTAGGAATTGAATCCTCGCAGAGCAAATCCTGATCCTCAGTGGTGTATCGTCTTGTTTTTTTTTTGTTTTTTTTTTTGTGTGCCCGCCACCCAAGACGCAAAAGAGGGGTGATGAACAACAGCCACCCAGAACCCTGACTACTTAAGATGAACACAAATACATCCTGACCAAGATTACAAGAAGACTAAGCTAAGTCAAGCAGGTGGAATGAGCTCCTGCCCCTAACTCAGCCTTGACTGGAGCCCTAACACTAGTACACAATAATTCAGAGCATCTCAATTCCTAATCATAGTTGGGACAGCGGGAGATGAACAAGGAGGTAGATCATACATGAACTAGGCTAGATCTTCGTTTTTTTCTTTTTCTTTTTACACATCCTGTCGTTGGAGTGATTGTAGCACCCACCATTAGGATGCCAGGGGATGGATCCTTTCTATTGGTGGCAATGGTGGGTACTAGGTAGCAATACCTGCTGGAAAAGAACTAGGCAAGATCTCATCACCTCACATACAAAGAGGATGGATTAGCGGTAATCAATATTTGTGCCAGGAATACTACAGCACATAGAAGAACATTCTTCGAGGCAATCAATCAGAAGAAGGGATGTTTGGGGGTCTGTTGAACCAAGGGGTCACCACACTACTTTACAAAAAGTGGGCGAAAAACGAGGTAAGGAACTACAGGCCCATCACCCTGTTGCCAGTCCCGTAGAAAATGCTGGCGAAAGCCCTCACGAACAGGTTGCTGCCGCATATGCGCCACCTCATTCACCCGGACCAATCTGGTTTCATCCCAGAACGAAACATACAGGACAACATGTGATGCGCTAACCTCGCGCCCCGTCGCGGCTTTCCGTACTGGGTCGCCGATCAGAGTAGAAGGGGGCGTGGCCGAGGATTTTTGGGCGTGGGGGTTGAGTCTCCCAGTAGGAATGGGAGTCTCTCGTTTTGGGCCCGATAGGTTTCCCCCGGCTGGGGCTCGATCCGTGGTCAGGTTTATAAAAAAACGAAGAGGGAAGAGAACGGGGTGAACGGACGGGTCCGACCCGACTTCTCTAGATGGGGGAAAGAGGAGAGGGGCGGAGGACCGGTTCCTCGCCGGGCCTGTTCTGCAAGGGGCGATGGATTCCCCCGTGCAGATTCTCAATCCTCGTCGTCGGGTTCGTCGAGGCCTCGGGGACTCACGACCGTGGGAACTCGGCAGGCGGGGACCGTCGCCGAAGTTGAGGTACGGAAACGGGCGGGGAGAGCTCCGACGTCCCGGGAGATTTCAGGGAACCGGGCGGCTCCTTCATACCCCAGAACCAGCCTTCACCACGAGCAGGAGTCCCCCTGCTGGCACCAGCGGCAACCAAACTGGGGGCGCCATGCGGCGTAAGCCGCAGACCACGGGAGCACCATCAGGTTGGTGTAAGGCAGTATGAGGGGTGGGGAAGAAAAGCGGTCTATCAGCACGAACCCTTCCCCCGCGATGTGGCAAGCCCGTTCGGGGTTGCGCCAGTGAAGCAGTTCCGTGCGTCGCAGGACACTCCGTACGTCTGCGTCGCAGTAGACGCTATCGTCGTCGACGATGGGGAAAATCGGGAGTGCACTGCGACGCGCGGAGTTGCAGTAAGTGCACGGGCGAGAACCCATGCTGGGTTGGGAATCCGTCTCTATACAAAGAGCGACGACGTCTCTCTCTCTCTCTCCCTCTCTCTCTCTCTCTCTCTCTCTCTCTCTCTCTCTCTCTCTCTCTCTCTCTCTCTCTCTCTCTCTCGGGTTCGACACCACTCAACCAGAGGGGTACGGGCGGAGGGGCGGATCCGTTTGCTGATTACCTCTAGCGGGCACGGCGAACGACTCCGGTCCTCAACAGCGATGTGCCACGTCAGACGTCGGCGCCGCGGGATTCCGGCCTCAGCGCGCAGGACAGGAGGGACTTCTTCGGTACGCGAAGGCCCTCGCCCTACGCGACCGAGCAACGAGATGAACAGGGGAACAAGGCAAAAGGGAAAAGAGGTATGATGGCCGACTTAATCAGGCATCCATGCAGACAATCGCCATGCAGTACCCAAGGACCACATACGTGCATACGCAGACTCACACCCATTCACAGACCATCTCACCGAGACTCACTCCCATGCATGCAACCAATTACCCACTCGACGGGACGTCACATACATCTCACGGAGACAGAGCAGGAATGGAGAAAAAGTGAGTTTCCTCATACACCAAATTTTCCAATTGGCCGACGCCCTCAGGAGCGACCTCAAACTTCCCAAGGACCACCGACCACCATAGCCACAAGACCCCGTCGTGATCGGCGTTCGGTCTCCATCACTGCTCAATCCCTCCAGCTGGCTTACCCCGAGTCTATCGCTAAGCCCGACCCGCATCGTCACTCTGCCCGTAACTTGGGCTCGTCAAGCCTGTTCGGCGCCGCGGACGTTCGTGCATAGCTCGCGTAGTATTGCAGCCGAGATCAAAGAGAGGGAGAGGAGGGGGTTGCGGAAATTTATAGCGTGGGAGGCGACGGGTTGTAAGCGCAAGGTGCGGGCAGCGCCGGTCGTAGACGAGCAGGACAGAAGAAAGGTGAAGGGTTTCGGACGAAGAGTCCTGCATGGGGGAAATGCGCGCAGCAAGAAAGGAAGATGGCGCGGGGATGCAAAGCAAGAAACGGGGAAGCGAGGCGCGCGAAGAATTCGGAGCTCAGGCGCACGCGCAAAAATTCAAAAAGTCCCAACCGAAACCGTTTCTTGGTTTTCATACCGCGGCCGCTTCTCGTCCGCGCGGGAGTTATTAACCAAACAAAAGTGAAAAAGCCGCTACAAAGAGAAAACAAAAGTAAAAGAAAGAAAACCCCTCTTTGTTCGCATCCATACTTCGAGGCTTCCGGGGGATTTTTCCTCAAGGATACAAAAAGCCGCGCGGTACGGGTCTGAGCTTATCACATCTGTGATGCGCAGGGGGTTCTGAAAAATTAGCAGTCTCCCGACTGCTGATGTCATCATATTTTGGATGCTCGGGCGGCCTCTTCATCGTCAGCTGCCCCGATCATCTCCTAATCTACTTCGATGCATTTCGCATCGTCGGTCATCTCCCTCATATTATACATCCGATCGGGCGGCCCCTTTATCGTCAGCTGGCCCGATCGGTAAGTAATCCTCTGAAAATCTATTACTTTTTTGTTTTGTACAGCGCGTCTCGACGTGCGAACTTTGGGCATAGGAGAAGCAGACGAGGGTGATCAAAGGAAGTGATCGATGTCGGGATTAAGAGGGGGCGGAATAGGTGGAAGGAAAACGGCCATTGCCGCGGGAGTCGTCGACGCGTCCTCCTCATGGAAGTGGTGCTGGACGAACGAGGGATAGAGAAAGGCCCCCGACACATGAGACAGGACACGTGGCGTCAGATCCGACGCCGCTCGCACCACCCGTTTGCGCACCGATCGGGGTCCGGGACCCGTCATCAGCAGATGAGTCTCGGTGTAGGGCCGCCGCTCTAGCTTCTGCGCCGCGAAGACGAGGAAGTGATACATCACATTAGGACGCTGCCCGGTCTCGTAGATGAGCATCCCCGCCATCCGCGCCGCGATACACCCTTGAAAAGAGGGTGTCAGATATGGCTCCCACGCCGGATCAGGGTGCGGCGCCCTCGCGATGGCCTCGAGCCTGATGGTGGTGGGCTCCACCATGAAGTCCAGCTCTGTCGGGTGGACCATCCGGCTCGAAGGAACTGCTAATGTCAATGATCGGGGCACTTCGGGGTGGCTGGCGGAAGCGAAAAGGTCCCGCGAGGATGGGGGGTCTGGATACGGGATCCGGTAATCCCGTTCGGCTTCCTCCTCCGGCTGCTGCGGCTGATGGCCCGGCTCCATCGAGATTGAGATCGGGTACGCGCGGGAGGGGCGGCGGTGGCACGACAGTCTCCTTAACCAGCGTCGCCGCACTCACAGGCACAGGGTCAGGACTCCGCGCGTGCACGGGCTGAATCCGTCTGCCTTGCACTCCTGGCGATGGGTGGCGTCTCTTCCTCTTCGGCGTCTTCTTGGGGACCTTTGGCGGCGCAGGTCTGGGATACGACAAGGGAGGTCGCAACGGCTTTTCCTTGAGGAAGTCCTCCAACCTCTCCTCGCGCTGCGCAATGTAATCCGGGACGACGACCCCGTTGTATATTCTCCGCGGGGCAGACACCGTCCGCAATCGTGGCTGGATCTCCTCTTCCTCGCTCGCGATCACTTGCGCAATGGATAGGAGCTCAAGATGTATGAGCTCCAACAATCCCGGATCAGTCGTCTGGAACTTGGCAAATGGGTACAACGCCACCGTCCCCTCCTTCTGCGCCGGCTTGGGTCGTGTGATGATGTAATAAACAACGAAGTGCTCCCCGATGCAGTGGTCTTCGAGCGCCACGAAGAATCGAAACATCCCCAGCACCACCGACTTGTATATCGCGCGGTGCAACTCCCACGCGTCTTCGTCTGCGAAGGGCAGCGGCTCCACGTCGGCCAGCTCCAAATACTCTGAGAACTCGCGCATAGGACAAGGGCCCTCCGTGAGTTGATAGGGGAGAGTGGTGTAAGAGAAAAAGGGAGGCATTTAGTACGAGGCAGGGGGAATAGCTTGGATGTTGAGAGGGGCGGCGGGAGGAAGAAGCGCGGGGAGCTGTGGCACCAACGCAATTGGTCCGTCCTTTGTCCTGCGTAACAGCGCTTCGTGGGCTGTGAATCGGTGTCCTTCCCGTCCTTGCACTCTGGCCACTGATCTCGCCGCCTGCACCGCGTATTCACGCACAAAGCTTTGCGCCGGCTCCCGATTCGGCTGCGACAGGATCGTCAGGTCCCCGATAAAGGTGGCGACGCTATGCACGAAGTTGGGTGCCACCTGGAGCGCGCGGAACTCTATGAACACCCGAGTCATCTCCCGCCCGGGCAACTGCGTCACATCCACGTACACCCCCGCATACGTCAACAACTCACAAAGTAACGAGTATGCCGCCAGATCGGCAACCCCGGGCGCTGGCACGTTCACCTGCTGAATGTCATATCGCAAATGCCTTTCCTCATTGAACTGATGTCGCAACCAGCGATCTGCAATTGGCGTCTGGAAGTGCTCGAGGGGCTCATGCTCCTGCTGACGAGGGTTCATCCTGCACACTGAGACTCTCAACACCAAGGGACGAGGCAAATTGGGAAGAGGAAGAAGACGAAGAAGGAGAGGAGGGGAGAGGGGACGAAGGCCCGGACGGGGCAAGAACAGATTCCCGGCTCGGAGATGGCCGAAACAGTTGAAGAGCCGCCACTTGTTGCGTAAGCGACCTGGCCTGCGTGCTATGCCGGGGGACCAGCTTCACGGAGTGCTGACCCCGCGCGCCAACTTCCGTCACCTCGTAAATGCTAGTATAGCGTGGGTGGATCTTGGAGGAGCGCGCAGATTTCCATACCTGCACCAAGTCCCCGATTTTATAACGGGGCATTGGTCCCGCTGTCGCGTGTCGGTTCTCATAGTCCCAGATCTGTCGTTGATGCGTCAGATCCACGACCCTCTGTTGTCTTCGGGCTAACGCGGGATAGGTCCGGGCCATCAGATCTAGGTAATGTTGGGCCTTGTCCTTGTGTTGGGCCCGGGTCGCTCTAACTTCCGTACCCACTAGAGGTGACAACTGTACCCTGGGAATACTATTGGTTCTCAGTTGGAACGGGGACACCGCGGTGCTCCCATGGGGAGTAGCCCGATAGACGGCTAGAATGTAATCGACTATGACAGGCCAAGGTCTGGTATCACCTGCCGTGATATTCCGTCTAAGTGTAGTCTTAATCATTCGGTTAGCGTTTTCTACGAGCCCATTGGCTTGACGCCAGTGCTTCGAGGAGTACGAAATTCTAATGTCTGCCCTTCCAAGATGTCGCTCCACTTCCCCCTTGAACTCGGATTCGTTGTCCATATGTATCTCTTCTATGTCCAGGTGCATGCACAAAAAGCGATTAATATACCAGGCCACTTCCTGTGAGTTCCGGCTGGTCATGGGATACGCTTCGATCCATTTCGAAAAATGATCTACGGCTACAAGAAGAACATTGAGTTCTCCTTGATCAACAGGACCTCTCGGCACGTTGATGTCCGTCGTATCAATACTGATCCGTTGGAAGGGGTGCTCTACCCGGGTAGGCACTATTGTACGGGGCATCTGTATCAGCGCCTTATCGGCCGCACAGGCCGGGCAAGTCCGGACGATGTATTTCACATCTCCCCGGATTCCCAACCAGTACCATCCATTTTTCTCTATCGCTTTTTCCGTGTATTTGACTGCAAAGTGGACCGCATCCTCCTCGTGAGCGGCCCATGTCCAATCGAACCTGGCCAGTGGGTGTGGAAACGTCAGCCAGCTAGATCCGTCAACATCATCGTCTTTTCGGTTTTGAAGGACGGATCCCTGCCAGCGGAAATCGTGCGCCCGTTCCGTGACACGTCGCCGTTCAGCCTTGGTAAGTTCCGTCAGCGGGTCGCCTGTCAGTCTCTGTAATAGCAAAAGATCCGTCCAGACTTCCGCTCGGTGGGCACTTGGCAAAAATCCGTCTGCCGTTCTAGCTTCTAGATACCGTTTTTCCGTAGGTACGTGGTCCGTTTGACAGTTGGGACAGTTCCAACTTTTCTCCTTCCGGTACCGGACACAACTCCCATGGGACCGAATGATGTGACATTGACTACATTGTACCCAGGGAAGAAAGCTAGGCCCCTCGAGAGGAGGATCTCCCTCGTCCGGTATCGTGGGCAAGATGCAGAAGAAACAGATGTGGGAAGGCGTGCTCGAAGAGGAGTCAGGATCAGAAGAGGGGGTTAAGGAATAGGGAAGGGGAGAAGGGGTGGCGGCCTCCTCAGGGGAGATCGCCATCTCCGATTGCTGCAGTGCCCTTGCGGAGGACATTCACCTCTCCGTCGAAGGCGAAATCGGCTTCCACGGGATGAGCCTTTCGTTTGCGGGACTCTTGTTCGGCGGCTGGAGGCGCGTCAGACCGTCGGCATTCCCGTGCTGCTTGGTGGCGTGGTGATGGATGTCGAAGTCGTAGTCCTGCAATCTCACCGCCCACCTTCCCAAGGTACCCGTGTAGTCCGTGTTGTTCCGCAACGATAGCAATTGCTGATGATCCGTCACGAGCACGAACTTCTGGCCGTACAGATACGGTCGAAAGTGTTGAACCCCCCACACCACCGCCAAGCACTCCCCCTTGCACGCCTCGTAGTTTGACTGCGCCTGGCTTAGCGTTTTCGACGCATACTCAATGACGTGCTCCCTTCCGTCCGTTCCTTGCCGAGTCAGCACCGCCGATATCGCCTGCGGCTGCCAATCGGTATGTAGCGCAAAATGTCTTGTCGGATCGGGACGCGCCAAAACGGGCACCGATGTCAGAGCCTCCTTGAGTGCCCGAAAAGCCGCCTCGCATTCCGACGTCCGGATCAGCTGTTCCTCCTTCTTCAGTAGGTTCGTCAGCGGCTTGGCGAGGCAGGCAAAGCGCCGAATGAAGCGTCGATAATAAGAAGCCAGCCCTAGGAAGGCTCGGACCTGAGTGAGCGTGACCGGGGATGGGGCTTCTCGGACCGCTGCTACCTTCCTGGGATCAGGTTTCAGTCCCTCGACCGTGACGATGTACCCCAAAAAGAAAATTTCGGACAAAAAAAACTCGCTTTTCTCCAGAGCCACTTTGAACCCCGCATCTTTCAACGCATGCAACACCCATTCGATATGTTCCACATGGTATTCGTAGGTTTTGGAAAAGACCAAAATATCATCCATGTACACAATCACACATAAATTTATCAACGATTGTGTCAAACGGGTTTTGTTAACGAACTCGGCGAAGGCCATATTCATGGCCCGCTGGAACGTTGCAGGGGCGTTGCAAATTCCCATGGGCCACCGGATCCACTGCCACGTGGCCCTCGAACAGGACAAAAGCGGTTTTGGGTCGGTCTTCCGGTCGGACTGCGACGTGGTGAAAACCGTGTTGGATAACGAACTTCGAAAAGACCCGAGCGGACCCGATAGCATCCAGCAGATCATCAATCCGCGACATCGGATAGACATCTTTGGTAGTAATAGCGTTTAATTTGCGGTAGTCAATACACACTCGGATTGAGCCGTTTCGTTTTGGCACGAGGACCATGGGAAATGACCATGGTCCAAGCGATGGTTCAACCCACCCCAACCGCTCGAACTCCCGTACCCTTTCCAAGGCCAGTTGTCTTTCTTTTAGGGAATAGCGGTACGGTCGGCAATGTATCGGGGCGTGATCACTGGTATCAATTGCGTGTTGGATCAGGTGGGTAAGTCCTATATCGTGGTCCTGGATGCTGACGGCCTCTGGGTAGGCCCGTATAACCGTCAAAAGAAGGCGCTTGTGGTCGTCAGGCACACGGGCCGGCAGCCGGACTTCCACGTTTCCCTCAGGAAGGGAGATCGTCGACGTAACCGTGGGGACTGCCGCGTTGGCTTCGGGTGAGGCACCAAACAGAGAATTGTCGGTTTTTACTGAAAGCACGGTTGCGATGAGTTGACTGTCTGCTGGGCTTATCGGTTCGTTTTCCATGTCACTGTCGTTCTCGAGCTCGGTTTCAGCCAAGGGTTCCACTGAAAAGGTCCTTCGGCCTCCATCGATATTCCCTCGTTCGGGGTTGAAATGACACCACTTCCTTCAAGAGCACGACGACTTTTGCGTTCGTAAGTAGGGGCCTGGAAGGCCGAAAAGTCAAATCGCACAACCTCCTAAGCTCCGTAAACCTTTCGGGTAGGGGGTCCGTCCTAAGATATAAGGACGCAGGGGGTTCCGAAAGGTCAGTTATTCGCGACACCCTCAACAGGGGTTCTCCCTACACAACGGAGGAGAACGCGTGCGACCAGTTGGACTCGCTCCGAACTATTTTCATGGGTTCTCGTCGCCAGGAATGGCGCCACCGATCCTGAACCCAAATCGGATACATCAGTGACTAGTCACGTCGGTTTCCGATGGAGTTTCATTTTTCGCCTGGTGACAGGCGTTGGATCATATTGATTTGATGGGCTTTCGTAGTGATTCGAGGCGCCGGTTGGGGGCGCATACCCATCGCCAGTCTCATCGGTATCGTTTGTGGTTTGGGGTGGGCCGATGTGAGCACCACCTTACAGCTGTCAAAGTGCATTCGCGCTCCGACCGCCGCCTGCCACGGAATGCCTAGCAGAACATCATACGCCTGCACATCCAGTACGATTGTGTCGCACAAACAATGCACCCGCCCCACTCGTATAGGCACGTACGTTATCCGCCCTTTACAATGAATGTTGTCCTCCGTAGCGGATATATACAGTTCATCCGGTCGAAGGGGCTGAACCTGTCCTTCCCTTCCCAATCGTTCCGTCAATCCCCAAGAAATGGCGACTGCTGACGATCCCGAGTCTAGGATGGCGGCCGAGGGGCTTCCCCAGACCTCGCAGTCACACTCAACGTTTTTCCAGGTTATAGGGTAGGCTCGGAGGAATACCTCAGGTTTTTCCGAGGCGGAATCTACGGTCTGGATCATTCCTACCCGGTTTGCTTCGTGCACCTTCGAGGTCGAGGGTTTCGACTCTTCGTTTGCGAGTAGGTCTCGTAGAACCGGCTTTTTGCCTTTTCGATTTTCCTCGAACCGGCGCCTGTTCTTGAGGCATCGTTCAATCTAT